TACATCTGAAAGCCAGAGCTAAAAACAAATAAAAAGAGAAAGAGAATACCATTGCCTTTTTATAAGCTTAAAGAGCTCCCTCATAGAGGCGTTTTGACAAAGCCAAGTGGGATAACCCACAGGGATTTGGAAAATATGAGGAGGGTGTAGGATTAGTCTAGAATTTCATTCATTTGTAAGCATACAGCAAATTATTTAAGGAGATTTAAAACAAATTTCATTTATTATCAAAATATTTACCGCAAATATATACAAAGAGCATTGTGAATTTCAAGACGGGCTCTTCTAATACGCTTATCTCGCAGATCAATCACGACTGAGTAGTGAGTTTGTAGCGCGCCCAAATGTAAAAATAAAATATTAAAAAAAAAAAAGAAAAAAAAAGATATTTGCTTTCCTTAAAAACCCATATCTATTCTCTCTCTCTCTCTTCTCTTCTCTCTCTATACTTCTTACTCAACTAATGAGAAGGCAACTCTCATTTAAAAAGAGAAAGAAGAAAAGACTGAATTGCTGCGAAACGGAAGTTTGCTAAATCAAGGTCTAGGTATTGTGATTAGAAATAAACCGAAACAAGGGAGACTCCACGCATAACTTCCGCTATAAAAAAGAAAAAGAAAGAAAAACGCCGGAAAAAAAAGAAAAAAGGAATTTTGGTCAATCAAAAGAACAAAGAGATTTTGGATGTTAGCCGAAACCAAACGTCGCGCCAAGTAGTTTGTTGTATGAATTTTTCTAATCTTTCATAAAGAAAGTTTTTCTTTGGCGGCAATTTTGACACATAATTCCCGTGTGTATCTTTGCGTGCGTGAGTCTCAAAATGCGACGAAAATTCATTCGCTGTTTCTATTTATATATTTTTTTTAACAACAAAATCGGCTCCAGAAACTTGGTAGTTCGTTGCGAAGTTTTCTGAGAAATGCTTGGGCGAATGTTGTATTTTTTATTTTTTAGCCAATAGGATTTCTTGAAACATTTAGATTAGGGATGAATTTGAGAAATATTTTTTTTTATGTCAGTTGAGCCTATTTTTGTACAAATTTTGACTGTTTTCTTATGGAAATTTCTCGAAGCTTATTTTTTATTTAATAACCAATGAAATTCAAGAAAATGTTTGAAAATTGAAATGAGGGTTACTAAACCATTGATCTCAGTGATACTACCTCAACCCCATCATGGAAGATACAAAACAGATTATAAGATCAACTACTATTACATCCCTTCACATAGAGTAGGCAGACCGAAGTTGTTTTCTGAGTTGTTATCCTCTTGTACCCTCAACATGTTCCAAGGAAGCTTGTGATTAACAACATATTTCTGTACTCTTTAAGCAAAATTGAACGTTAATAATGTCACAAGTGAAAAATTGGAATAAATGACACAAGTGAAAAACAAACTCTTTAAACGGCTTAAAATTAAACACCAGTAGCTGTTTAATTTTAACCCATTTAAAGTTAAATTTCTAACCAGAGGACAGTTGTCTGTTTATTTACTTCTAGTTCAGTTGTCCGGGAACCACCAAGTACACATCATTGATCACACAACCCCATAATGGAAGTCATATTAAGTTGTTGCGGATGTGTGATGTGTGTTGGAAAGTAATAGAAGGTTTGAATTATCAGAAGGCTTAAAATTGTGTGTGATCAATAATCTTCCATCCACAACAATTAATACAGGACAGAATAATTATTCAAAAACATCTTGTTTCAAAACGTAACAATTGAATTTATTAGTGTTTGATATACATGCATGAATACTGTTGTGTCTCATAGAAATATGAATACTGTTGTGTCTCATAGGGAAATATTTGTACTACCTAAGTTCATAAAGTGAAAGTAATTATTAACCTGTAGTTTAGAAGAGTAAAGTTTCTTTAGCATGTTTGGAATTGTGTATTGTACAAGTTGGTAAAAGTTCAGAAGAGATTTCAGAGATCGTACTTGCGTGAATGTTGATAATGGTTTTTAACGTCTGACCGCAAAGGTTAAGACGGGAGTTCTTGAAGATTACATCTTGGCAAATAAGACGCGAGAGAGAGAGAGAGAGAGAGAGAGAGAGAGAGAGAGAGAGAGAGAGAGAGATGAATGAAAAGAAAACACAAGAGAGCTTACACGTGTTCTGTTTTTATAATTTTGTTGTACCACGTGATAGGCTCAAATGGAAAACGTGGTAAAACAGATTTGTCGCGTGCAGGCGGTTTGATTGGTCCGAACTGACCAATCAGCAAACTAGATTGAAGGTGATCAACCAATGAATGCTTGTTATATATTTTGTAAGATTGTGATGGTGAAAATTACAACAGGAATAGTGCATTTCCTAGCAGGGGTTAACTAGCTTGTTGTGGAAGAGTCCACAAAGTAATAAAGGTAAAGAGAAGATTTGCTTCCAAGAATACATGTATACAAAACAGATTCTAAGACCAACAATTATCAGATGGAGATTTTTTCATATTTTTCCACTGTGTCATTTTTTTTACCGGTGCTAATTTTACCTGTGCCATTTTTACTTAAATTCGTCAAGAACATGTCTTTTTCGCTCAACATCCAAATGTGTTAACTTATCAGTTTTCAAATTCAATTTTAAATTTCTGTATGACAGCATTAAGGGCTTGTTTTTTTCTTCAATAAAGTATTGTTTATAAAAGCCCTTCAAAGGTTCTTTTCTCAGCCAAAATGTTTTAAATCATTTTTTTTTAAATAACGAAGAAAGAAGGTACGGGACACAACTAAGATATTTTTTTGATCTGTTTTGATACAAATTCATTTTTTGTTTGAATTGAATGAATTATAATTTGAATGAAATGTTAGAATCTGTATCAAATTAGTTTTACTACGCTAACTAAATGATCATTTTTTTTAGAATTGAATTTTTTTCGAGAAATAATTAAACGGAGGCGAGACGTTGGAATAAAACTTGGGATTGTAATTTTTTTCTTTTCAAAAATTAATAAACAGTGTGTGGATAGGGCTTACGAGAATACGGGAAGGAAAAAGACAGAAATTAATAATTCATTTTTTTTTCTAAATATATTTTGACAAATATCTATTTTTAATGCACCAAATGAGAGTGGCTTCCCTTGACCATACAAATTTGAAATGTAAGATTGCCCATGTAATGTTTTGTAAATTAAATCATTTTCGAGATTATATATATATATATATATATATATATATATATATATATATATTATACAGAGTCCGCCAAAAAATGTATTGACGCTTCAGGAAAGGAAAACTTGTCTTTCGTAGTTTTATTAAATTGCAATAACACTGTTAAAGTGTTTACTGTAGTGTAGTACGATATTTTCTGTACAGACGGCATTATATTGGCGGCCCTTAGCCAAGAAATTGAAAATGCATGTGCAGCAATCCCTATATATATATATATATATATATATATATATATATATATATATATATATATATATATATATATATATAAAAACTAACAGTAGTAATGTGCAAGGATATCAGAGAGTAAATGTTAGAGTTAACACTAACAGGAGAACTTGATTGGTACCTTGTGTCATAAGCAATGAAAGAACAAGACTACTGTCACCAGGCATAAGAAGACAAATAATAACACAAGTTCCGTGTGAATTTCTGTGGTGAGAACTTTATCATTATTTAAGTAAGTTATTTATATTTGGACTAATGTCTTTATTTTTATTGTTATTTTCACAGCATTTCGGTCGTTGTGTCGTCTGGACTTCTTTACGTGTCTGTCGATCAGGGTAAACGCTAGAGAATTTTTTTTGAGCTGAACTATTGATTTAAAATGGCTGAAGATTGCGTTCAAGCATGAAACAGACTGTCGCCGCTCGGTGTTGACCTCAGTGTTGGGCCGTCAAAGGAGTGATCAAAAAAATTGACGAAATAGTTTGGGCCGAAGACTTTTTAGCACCCGCTCGAAATCATTCGTTTATTTACATTGCATTTTAATCCACATTGTCAGCCATTTTAATTTATTAACTTCAGTTTGTCAAATTTAGGAATTTTTTTCCTTAAAAGTGGAAAAGTTTTCTAAACTTGGTGTCACTGCCAACTGTTTCTATACGTTTTTAATAAAAGTTAATATAAAAAAGTATTTAATTTTAAATCGTGTAAAACTATAAATGTATTATTTCTCATTTTTTACACTGTGTCCTCTGGCCGAGAAGTTGGGATAAAAACAACGAAGCTGAGGATAATAGTCCGAATATAAATAGTGTAAATAATGACAACAGCTCACCCCAGAAATTCAGATAAAAAAGTATTTATTCGTCATAAAGAAATAGAATATAAGGGAGACAACTAATGTGGAATATTGACTTACTTCCCTTACTTACTATCATGTCCAGCTGATTGTTATAAGTTCAATTCTTGCTAAGTACTTTAATTTTATGATCTGTGTTAAACTGAGGTAACACACACACACACACACACACAAACACACACACACACACACACACACACACACACACACACATATATATATATATATATACCAACTACATAATTCCTAACTTATGTCTACTTTTTTTGGCATGCATTCTCATGTATTTTCTCTTTTTTACTTAGTTCTATAAAAATCAAAATATAAAATATGGCCTTGTTGAAATTCGTTCATCTCCTTACATTCGACATTTAAATGTGTAAAATAGTATTGCCACTGCTTTTAGTCTAATTAGAAACAGTGCTGCAACAGTTTGGCAATAACGACGTGATTTCAACATGCAACGACTGTAACCTTTGGCGACCACGGTGCGCATCCTGCAAGATGCCCCCTCGACGCGTATATCGCAACAGATATTTATGAATGAGTTTGGTGCAGTGCTATCAAGACTCGGTCGGGATTTGAACTCGGTTAGCTGATTCCATTTTCCACACCGTTAGTCTCTTCACACTACACGCATGTCCTGCTTACAAGGAGGTCAAAGTGAAATTAATGAATGACGTAAGTTTCTGTCGCGTGCCAAATATCAGATTTAGAATTGCGTGATGCGATTTGTCCTTACTTACCCGACATTTAGGAAAATGTTGCTGGTTGCTAGGTAAAATATAAGCAGTCGTTGCTTCTATCTCGCCTGTGTTCTGGCAACCCACAAGCACAAAGAAGACATTAGTCGGCAAGCTTTCATTGGTGAACCTGTAAATGAGATGCCAATAAAAAGACTAAAATAACCAACAAAAAACAAAAATAACCAAAAAAAAAAAAAAAATAAATAAAAAAAACCCAAACGACCCCCCCCCAAAAAAAACAAAACAAAAACAAAAAACAAACAAACACAAAGACTATAAATCTTATAATTAATATTTAATTAGCTAGCCGGATACTCGTACTACGAACATTTTTATTAATAATATCGCGCTGGGTCTTACAATAAACTACATCCGCGTCCCGGGTAAGACGATAAACTATATCCGACAGCCAGGACTTTGATCAGAAGGTTTTGAGGAGTGTGGAACCACCTCTTAATTGTTGGTGTTCCCAGGTCCACCCTGACCGGGGTGACAGCACTTGTCAGGTCCCCAGCTATGGGCAAATAGTTACCTTCCCAAAAGTGGTCAAAACATTATGAAAGTATTAAAATAGGTTATAATACGAGCAATCCTTTTGTTTTGTTTTTTTTTAAAATATTTTACCAGTAATACATTTTTGAAAAAAAAAAAAAAAACAATATTACTAGCAATACATTTTTGAAAAATAAAATTTTACCAGCAATACATTTTTGAAAAAAATATGTTATCAATAATATATTTTGAAAAAGAAAAAATATTAACAGCAATAAAAATCTTGTCGGTATTAAATAACCCATATACCGTAAAAAAACAAAACAAAAAACAAACCAATTTATTAATTATAATTCAAATTAACTCAGCAGACGATGTTATTTTACTTATTTGAATATTTTTTTAGTGTTTGTATTAATAATCACCAGAAATACATGTGATAATTTAATGGTTCTGTTTTTTAAATCACCTCAACCCAAGTAAGGCGAAGAAGGTTACCGAGTGTGAGAGAATCCGAGACAGAATATCAAAGAAACAGGGCAATAAAAGAACAAGAATTAAGGAAACAGAACGATTGACCTTGCATTGATATTTTTGAAGATCAAAAGTGACTGAAAAGTAAGATGTCCGAAGAGACTTTAACAAGTAAGAAATGTGAGAGAAAAAGAAAAAAACAAAAACAAAAACAAAAAAAAACAAACAAAAAAACAACAACAAAAAGCTGTTAGCATAGAACTTACGGTTACATCTTTAAATTTCAAGTTTCAAATGATGAGACATAACTATTAATCTATTTTTTTAAATCATTTCACCTCAAGCAAGGCAATAAAGAGACAAGAGGTCATTGAGTGTTAACGAATATAAAAAAGAAGCTAATATTAAGGAGAGAGGACAATAAAAGTATAAGAATTAAGAAGACAAAAGATAACGATTGACATTGCATTTATATTTTGATAATCAAAGTTGACTAGGAACAAAAAGCAGGAAGAGAATTCTATAAACAAGAAGTGCGAGAGAATAAACTGTTAGCATAGAACTTACATCTCGCCATTTCAACTGTAAATTGATGAGACCTAGCCGCCAATCTAGTACTGCGGTTAAATTCATAAAGTTTAATTACCAGAGAGGAAACAATTACCATGAGAGACAAAATAGAAAAGACACAGGAAAACTACGTTACAGTGGCGGGGAAAGTGTGCAGATTATTCCTTGTATTTTATCTAGAATCTCAGAAGCACCAGACAACTGGGAATATACAGTAGCTGATCGCAGCTGATAGTGCAGTGGGCGAACTAGCCTCTGGCAAGAGATCAGTTCACTGCCCCCAGCTGCGCTACAAAGATGTTTGCAAGCGCGACATGAGAACTTTGGATGTTAACACAGACAGCGGGGAAGATGCAACAGCTGACCGCAATAGATTGCGCAGTGTGTTCTGGAAACAACTCGGCTTGGGGGAAAACAAGATCCAGGCTTTAGCTGAAGAAAAGAGAGAAGGGTGGACAACGTGCCACTGTACAGACAACCTCTTTTGAATCCTAATTCTTAAGCTCATGGTGAGTTCTATGGCTATAAAATACCCGAGAAAATACCACTATTCCATTGTAAAATATTTGTCGTGGTAGACAATTTTTTCTCGACAGAATCTATCTTACAAATTTATAAGTCTACCATTCGTCCATACATTGAATATTGCTATTACATCTGGTCTAGTGCATATGCTCTATGAGAGTCTTGATAAAATCCAAAGAAGAATCTGCAATGTTATTGGCTCTGACCTGGCATCTCAACTTCAGCCGCTTTGCCACCACCGTAAGGTAGCTCCTCTGTGCTTTCTCTATAAATAATTTAATGGTAATTGTTTGGATGAACTTTCCACCACGGTACCTAGACTTTATGAATTTAAGCGCAGTACAAGATGGGCAGTATGTTCTCATAGACTTACAGTTGAAATGACTAGATGTAACCATAGGTTCTATGCTAACAGTTTCTTCTCTCGCACTTCTTGTTTGTGGAACTCTCTTTGGGCTTCTTGCTTTCCAGTCAACTTTGGTCTTCAAAAATTTAAATTCAATGTCAATCGTTATCATCTGTTTTCTGAATTCCTATTCTTTTATTGTTCTCTCTCCTTAATAATGTTTTTTTCTTATATTTTTTCAGACTCACTAACCTCTTGCGTCTTAGTGGCTTTATTGCCTTGCTTGGGGTGAAAGTCCTGACGAGCAACAATCGACGCTGTCCAAGAGTATTGACATGACTTGGCACCAGTGTGCATCATCCATAGTCGATATCGAATGACGGAGACCTACATACATTTTCAGCATTCTTCGGAAGAATCATATCTCGCCTTCAGATCTCTTCTTCATCTGTGAAGAAACTGTCCAATGGTCACCAACATATAAAAAAATCACATACACTATTTACATTATTCGGACTATTGTCCTCATCTTTGTCGCCATATTTATTACAACGTTTCGACCGTTTTCATGTGGTTGGAATGTCGAACTGAACCTTTTATTTCGCTCACTGGGGTAGACTGTTCTTGTTCCACGTGCCATGTTTAATGGATGTCAGTTATCAGTTATCTTCTGTTAATTCACCTCTCCGAGTTTTCCACCACCATAACCAGGTATTGAACTCACACTCTTTGGGTCCTGTCACTGGATCTAACTAACGCCTTTATCCACTGTGCCATGTGTCCTTGAGAAGAAAGCCGGAGTGTACAACGGCCGAAAGATTGTAATAAATATGGCGACAAAGATGAGGACAATAGTCCGAATAATGTAAATAGTGTACATAATACCTAATCTCAGAAATATAGACAGATGCTGAAAGGCCAAAACGTTATAATAAATATGGCGACAAAGATGAGGACAATAGTCCGAATAATGTAAATAGTGTACATAATAACTCATCTCAGAAATATAGACAGATACAGAAAATCACATATTTCAGAGCAGTCCAAAACTCTTCATTTGTTTCTCAGAACATTTTCTTATCTCTTAGTACTTTTGCTCAGTTTTTGAAAGGCATCTTTCGCTATTTTTATGCGTCTTCGGATTTCTGCCACACTATCAAAATAGTTAATTTCCTGTTTTAGACATTCCCGAAACATAACTCTAAATTTAGGCTGCCTCTTTTGCTAACAACCACGCATTCAGTCTTCCAATGAACTGTTAGCTTTTTTTCTTCTTATTCTTCTCCTCGACTATCTTGTTTAATATTACTTTCAGTTTTATTTCCGAATATGTTGTTACATCTTTTTATTTGCTGCCATATTTAGGCTGAAGCTGCCCAATCCTCTCTTTCTAGCCTCGACAGAGATCAAAAGTGTTTACGCAGCCTTGTAGGTAATGAATTATTTTCCATCTTACAACCCCTTTCCCACAGACGCGACGTCGTAAGCTTCCCATTACGCTTTTGCAGTTTTGACGGCAAATGTTCTGACGAGCTACATCCTCTAGTCCCGACCTTTACAATTAAGACGCGCCATGACATATGGGCGAATCATCCTCATTCCCTTCGTATTCCATTAAAATAAGAATAATGGAATAAAAGAATTTAATATTTCCTAAAAAAGAATTTAAAAAGAATAATGGAATAAAAGAATTTAATAATTCTTTTTTATTAAAAGTAATAATAAAAGGAATTTCTATTCGGACAGTTTCTTCCCACAAGCCGCTGCCTTGTGGAACAGATTTTCGAAATGATGTTCCTCTGACAGCTACAATCTCAACGTCTCCAAGTCGGGGATCAACCGTGATTTATACTAAATCTTCTCATAATGTACAATTCTTATGCCCATAAATCAACCCCATTCAATAACTCCATACCTTGAGTGGCCCTTGGGGTGAATTGGGTGAACATTAGCGTAAAAAAATACAATTTCGTTTCATTTTATTGCGCTTATATTGTATAAAAACAATAAAATATAGAAATAACTTTTCTACTACAAATCTCTGTTGAACTGTAAGACTCAGCCTTTCCTCTGGAAGCAAGGATCGATAAACTTGTAACGGACTGCGTCAAATTTCACGTTCTTTTTAACTATTTTTATACTTAACTTTGATTGCAAAAGATTGAATCTCAGTAAACATTAATAATAAATGGCAGTCACCAATCGTAAATGGTTGATTAAATTCGTATTGCGCGGTTTTAGATCCTTTACGTATTTGGTACATAATAATGCTTTTATAGTCGTCAGCAAAAGAGGCAGTTCGAGTTTTGAACTATCTACGTAATGAGGATGTCAAAATCAATCAAGTATAGAAATTTAACTATCTGGATAGTGTAGTTACAAACGATGGAAAATACAATACAAAAACCCGACGGTGCATAGAATTAGCGAAAGATGGTTTGCTTTGGTTTGTTTTGTTTTACAGCATATCAGCCTCAATTGGTCATTTAATACCGATAAGATTTTTTATTGCTGGTAATATTTTTTTTCCAAAAAATGTATTGTTGGTAATATTTTTCAAAAATGTATTGCTGGCAATATTTTTTTCAAAAATGTATTGCTGGTAATAATTTTTTTTTCAAAGATTTATTGCTGTTATTTTTTTTACAAAAACGTATTGCTGGTACTAAAACCTATTTTTACACTTTCATAGAGCTTTAACTTCAGTTTGGGGGGTAACTATTTGCCCATAGCTCAGAAATATAGACAGATACTGAAAGGCCGAAACGTTATAATAAATATGGCGACAAAGATGAGGACAGTAGTCCGAATAATGTAAATAGTGTACATAATACTTCATCTCAGAAATATAGACAGATACTGAAAGACCGAAACGTTATAATAAATATGGCGACAAAGATGAGGACAGTAGTCCGAATAATGTAAATAGTGTACATAATACTTCATCTCAGAAATATAGACAGATACTGAAAGGCCGAAACGTTATAATAAATATGGCGACAAAGATGAGGACAATAGTCCGAATAATGTAAATAGTGTACATAATACTTCATCTCAGAAATATAGACAGATACTGAAGGGCCGAAACGTTATAATAAATATGGCGACAAAGATGAGGACAATAGTCCGAATAATGTAAATAGTGTACATAATACTTCATCTCAGAAATATAGACAGATACTGAAAGGCCGAAACGTTATAATAAATATGGCGACAAAGATGAGGACAATAGTCCGAATAATGTAAATAGTGTACATAATACCTCATCTCAGAAATATAGACAGATACTGAAAGGCCGAAACGTTATAATAAATATGGCGACAAAGATGAGGAAAATAGGTGCTACCACCCCGGGAACATCCGCAATTAAGAGGTAGTTCCACGCTCCTCAAAGACTCCTGATCAGAGGCCTTGCTGTTGGATGTAGTTTATTGCCTTACCCAGGATGCGGATGTAGTTTATCTTCATAACCAGGACGGCGCGAAAGATGTCTTTTATAAACTAAGATACCACTAAATGCCAAATTTCTTTTAATGGACACTAGAAAAAAAAGAAGCTTGTTTTGTTCTTGTGCGTCGCATAAAATCATCAAGTGAACCGGATACTTTGTGGGTCGTAATTTTCCCACCTGTGGATAATAGAATAATACTAACCTTTTTATTGTGTCATCGTCATCAGCCAGACCATCCAAGTTGTAATCATAAATGGGTCCAACGAACCAAGTGAACATAGAAAACGAAGTCCGCCATTTCTGTACCACATTTAATGCTTCAATCCATAAATCTGTAAGAAGACGTAGATTCGCTTTCAAAAGAGTTATAAATCTTTTAACAACTCGTTAGCATTTTGTATATTCAGTATTTTATTAATTTTAGAAATTAATTTTTAATTGCCCTTTATTAGAAAGATTCAATTTTTAATGACCCTTAAAATAATAATATATTAAAATGTATTTCAGTTGAAAAATACGCCGTAAGCTTGTTCAAGTCCGTCCGTTTGAAAACCCCTTAGGGTTGTAGAGGCACCACATTTACCGCAGCCATAGTAGCAGAGGTGTGTCTAGGGTAAGCTAGCCTGATGGAACCTAAAACACTTCAGGCTTGTTCAAGGAAGTACAAATCTGAATTATGAAAGAAAGACAACGAAAATAAAAGCGTAGCTAAATTGATCCTGTTTTAGTGCCGCTGATATCAATATGTGTGTGTGTATGTGTGTGTGTGTGTGTGTGTGTGGCAAGTGCCTCAGTAATTACTCAGGGTAGGCAGCTTGTGACCTTTATGTAGTAAATCTACAAAAAAATAAAATATTTTTCATTTTATGCTTAATAACTTTCATAGTTTTGTTGGATTAAGTGCATAGTGTGCCATAGAAGGAAAATGTAGCTGCCGATCTATTTTATTTCGAGTAGGCACTGCTTACCTTGCCTACCTAGACAGCACCACTCTGACGTGTGTATGTGTGTGTTTGCAGCAAAAGTTAGGAGAAATTGTCGTCGAAAGTAGTTTGTCCTTTAATGCTGGTTATATCATGTTCACCGTGTGAGGTTTGATATTAAAGAGAGCTTTTTTTACAAAACCGCCACTGTTGTATGCGAACGTGACATGCGACTCGTATTGCGTGACTAAATATCTAAGTGGAAATAACACCCCACTTATGCTATTTGTGATTTATTTAACTACACAAGAATATGTAAAGGTATATAATTATTTTATTTCCTTTGATTTCTGTTGTATACTTATTTCCTCCCAGGTCCCAACCAGAGACCTAAGGCCATAAATGACATCATAACAATTTCCAGTGAGCATTTTTGTAAAAAAAAAAAACATAAGATCATACACATTTTATATAGCTAAAACCCTTCGCAAAGTGTGAGTTGTACATGTGAGTACATTTTTTTTGCATTTCTTTAATCCCTTCAGTGAGTTTTTCGGAACTTTTTCCAATCAAATTGAGGGCTTCAACTACAACTTGAATTATTGATGTCCTCATGTGCCACATTGTTTTAGATTCTCATTTCAAGATTCTTGTATTTTGATAGTTTTTGAAGATTGTTAAAGATACATTACAATCTGAAGGGATTGTCATGTTAATAAGAAGTCTTATTCTATTTCTGTAGAATCTGATCCCGATGTCTGAGCGATTAGCTTTCATTATTCTCTGTGTGTCAAATGTAAAATCCTATGAAATGTTTACAGGTTCTATGTCTGTAATCGGGTCTCGGTGGTGTTCATACAAATTTCTTTCAGTTTTCTTTCCCTAAGTTGTAGATTTTCCATTGCAGATGTTGGTCCAATCTGTCATGTCGTGTTTTATATTCAGTGGGTGTCAATACCGTGCAACCTGATACAAGATGGTCAATTGTTTCTGGATATTTTTCACAGAATTTGGGGCTAACACAATTTTTCATTATGTGTGCTTGCTAATTTCTAGTTAAAAAGCATTGGGCCTGTGCAGCAAGAATAAAACCTTCGGCTTCAGCTTTCAACTCTGTACTACGTAGCCACTGATGGTCACGGGGTTTGTTTACATCAGCTTTTTTGGTATGAGCAGAATATTGACCCGGAGAGGCTTATCTTGCCATTTCTCTATTTGGTCCATTACATTTCCTTATTATTATTATTCCTCGCCATAATTGTATATATCTGACTCATTACGATTTCGTGGAAAGTTGTAATATTACAGTGCCTGTAGCACGACTGATAAGTGTAAAGGAACATTATCGAATGATTGGGCCAGTGATTATGACAAGTTAAGTAAAACGATCGGACAGTTGATGACCAGCATCCCATTTCCACGGTTTTTGGCTTTGTATAGCATTAATAGGAGTAGATAGATTCGCCTATTGCCCGGTTCACCCTTCTCCCCTGTCTTTTGAACTGAGGTAAAGGTTTATCCTTTGTTTCTTGTTCAGGATTGGGTTTTTGGTTCCTTCTACAGTCTTCGTATTCTCTTTCATTTCCAGTAACGCCTTGCGTCTTAGCGGCATTATCGCCTTGCTTTGGTACTTAAATGATTAAAAAAGGTTTTCTCATGACCGTAACGGTAATATTAACCGTTTCCTTATAAGGAAACATTTGGCATTCATTGACCGAGCAGCTACTGTCGGTTGAAATTTATAAATCTTTCCCTTAAAACAATTTTTCACAAAAATAAATTTCTCAAGTTTAGTAATAGTGGGGAATTACTATTGGTGAAAATCCTCAAGTGATGTGGTACTTGTTATTCGGTACAGTTCTTTGTTTTGGATTCTGTAGCGCCAGTCCACGTGGTTCAAAGAATCATGATCCTCACTTAGAACCACAGGCTTCATTCGTTCAAAAGCAATTTTAATCGTTGATCTGAGAAAGCGGTTGTATACAGTTGAGAGTTTAACCATTTCTGGACGGGTTTGGCGCCATTCATTGACATCCATATGAAAGCCTCGATCTGACGAGGTTATTTAAGACCATGTCTTTTCATTCTCTTTCATTCCCAGCAGACCCCTTTCGTCTTAGTGGGATTATCGCCTAGCATGGGGTGAATTGAATTTTTAAAAAAATTATGTAAAAATAGATCAATAAATACCTATGTTCATTTATTTCTGTATCCACGCGTGTTTATGGATGTTACACTAAGAATATCAATAAAGTATACGCGTTGAAAAATCGGTGGGTGGTCCAACAAGGATGAAGGAGGTTTCCTTTTTATATATCGTATCATAGCCGCTAATATGTAACCTTCTTAGTTCTTGGGTTGTGATAAAATTAAGTTTATGCGTCATGTTCGTCGTATTCTATCTGAATTCTAATTCTTCACTTCGACATTCACAGTTCATATGATCAAAAACTGACCTCAGTTTCGTCCGACTCCTCGCTCCCACTTCCGGTATACCGCCAACAAATACCACGGTCCTAAAATATTTTTTTCTGACCAATCTGAAAAAAGGCCCACGACGTTTGCACAGCGGCCGTTTCTGAACCAGTGACTGACTATAAAGCCATCGCTGATTTCACCCACGGGACAAAACCGATTCGGCTGGCATTCACGATAGACCCCACGACAGGCAGAATTAACCAGGCCGCCAGCAGTGACACCAAGGCGCGCCTATTAACATCAATACCTTTGGCCAGCGACGAAACCAGGGGTAACAACAGGGACTAACTCTCGACCACTAAAATGCTGATTTTCTCCACTTATCTATCGCAACTGCTACCTCGAATTTTCAATCACTCACGACTGATTTACGATAACCTGGAAGGAGCAAATAATCGAACCTTGTAGGTATTTACCCTAGTCTCCTCACTGAGACGTAATTGTGACACAAGGTCGAGTTTGATGTGGGGAACCCGAGCACGTACACCTGGGTCAAGGACAAAAATTACCCACCCTCTGTCGGTTGCGCTGGCATCAGTATAACTACCGATCCCCCTTCTTTAGTGCAATGTGGTGGAGGTGCAGCAACGTACAGCTGTTCCCCAGGATCAGGTAACTCATAGTTTTTATTTTCCTCAGCTGAGTCTCTGCCCGCAGACATAGCCACAACTGAGTCGTACTCTGCCCGAAGAGATTATAAACCCTACCTGACATCAGGTAAGTATGACCGAACCTTGTAAGTTATGGAGAATAAAAACTCTTTTACTTATCTCAACCACGTCTTATCTCCATGTATTATTTTGTCACTTCCACTTTTTTAATGTCCAAAAATAATAAGCAAAAATAATAAGCAAAATAATAAGCAAAAATAATAAGCAAAAATAATAAGCAAAATAATGTCCAAAAATATCAGTGTCATAAAACATCTCCGACCAATCAGTAAAAGGCCCAAAGTACTATTTTGATATTTTTAATCTATAATTTTGCTCTACTCTCAAGTGTTCAAACATTATTTTTTAGTACACTGTTTATCATACTGAACTCAGTACACTAATGAAGGATTGAATGCTACTGAATATATAATACCAATACCCAAAAGCTTGCCTTACATAATTATCTGTTACAGCTTGACATCTTTTATATTCATTAATATATACAGGTTTTAATCCACTGTACTTCAGTGGGAAGTAAAAGAACACATTTAAACTATTAATACCAAATGTGCTTTGAAAACTCTTTGCAAATTACCTAGAAATTAGAGAGTTTTTTTGTTTTTTAAATCACAGGTGATCTTTTATACATAAACAAATTCAACTACTGACCAAAAATGTGATACCTATTTTTTGACAGAAAATTAAAAATAAAATTGTTTGGATGAATTGGGAAGCATATATTTTAATTGTAATTATGTTGGAAGATAAAATGAAGGCAGTTAAAAATTTACAGCTGAAATTTAAAATTTTTACTGTTATTGCACTTCTCTGACCAATCAGCAAAAAGCACAAGCCATATCTGAGCCATTGACTCACTATAAAGCCAACACGGATTCCATCGACAAAGGCAAATCTGACCAGGCTGGCATTAATGATGTACCCCATAGCAGAAAAGCTTAACCAAATGCAGCAGACTACACGATTACTCAAGGCAATCAGCAATGACATGAAGGCATTTCCATTAACAACGATGCTTTTGGCTAATGACAAAACCAGTAGTAATACAGACTAACTTTACTATATATATATATATATATATATATATATATATATATGCATGTTAATTTTATCCAACAAGTTTACCTCACTTGATTAATTATTCATGTCTCAACTACTACCTTGTGTTATACCCCAAATGAACTCTCAGTCTCCCACAACTGATATATGATACCACGGAAAGAGCAAACAACCAAGCCTTGTATATCACAATGAAATAAAACAAAAATCTTTTACTTATCACAGCCATGTCTTATCTCCATTTGTTGTTTTGTCACTTCACTTTTTTTTTCGTTAACGGTAAAGTCGTCGTTACATGTTAAGAATCCAAATAAAAGAGTAAGGTTCAACCTGTACAAGGCCCGAGGACCACTCGAGGTAGAGGGTTATGTTAAGGGATAGTTTATATGAATAAGACGAGGAAGATAACGGTTAAAGTTAGACTTGAAGAGGCTAAGATTGTAGTGATTGGGAAAACATCCTCTTGGGAGTCTGTTCCACAGAGCAGTGGTTCGCGGGAAGATTTATTTCTTTTTTGGACGTATTCCTAATATTTAGTTGCAATTACGACATACGTATGGAGCAAACTAAGCTTCAATCCAAAATCCAACAGCTTCCATGATCTGTGACCACAAGTTACTTTTTTTTTTGTTCATTAGTGAGAATGCCAAAATACATTGACATTAACTATCTGCTCCATTTACCAATATAGTTTTAAGATAGGAAGCGCTGTGCACTGGAAAGCAAAAAAGTTAAGAATCCCTACTTTATAGTTTTAAAAAATGGGTTGATAAACGTCAGAGTTTTAAAAATAATCATTAATATTTCGCGGGGCCAGACAGGAAAGGGATGACGAGACAAGTGTTAGCTGCAGTCATTTTTGGCTTCGTCTGCCCATTTATTCGTCTGTTCAGAGGGTATAACAAATGACCTTACTTCTAACATTTCTTCTCTCCACGAAAAAATGGTGATAGAAAAAAAGATAATGAAATGGCCATTAATAGACCAATCAGATCAATCCATTCAAACAGTGTGACGAACACAGATGTTATTATAGAGTTTCTAGACGCCATTTGTTTTGTTTTTTTTGTTTTTTGCCTGAGTAGAAAAAAGTTTCCACTTTCCTACGGATTGTACATATGAGAAAAAGTCAAAAAATATATCAGACAAAATCATTGTTTAAACAAATCTTCAAACACACAAATAGTAATGCTAACGGTAGTATTAAACCAAGGCGGTGTAATGTTTAGCAAGCTTGTCTCGCTAGAACTAATTACGACTGAGTAGTGAGTTCGATCCTCACTGGGTGCCCCATAATTTCGGCTTTGTGCAACATCTAAGCTACGCTTGGAATACCGCTATTAACCCTTTTCTTATATCGGGGGCTACGATCAAATAACATCGGTTCTCGTTTAGTTATCGAAGTTAAGCACAGTCGAGTCTGGTTAATACTTAGATGGTGAGCCACTTGGAAACATTGAGTAATGTAAACAACCTCCTACAATCCAAAATATATTTCGGCATTTAAATATACCCTAAAATGGTTGTTAAGCCGTAAAAAAACAAAAACAAAAAAAAATCAGTCAATGCTAATATAGAAACATTCGGTATTCATCGACTGAATGGCCAGAGCTACTGTTGGTTGAAATTTATAAAATCTTTCTACTAAAACAACATTTGAGGAAAATGTTTTTCTCAAGTCTACTGTTATCGCTCTTTCAAGAATTGATGAGGGTTTCCTTCCTAACATTTTGTTTGGAGTAGTGTGGAATGTCAACATCATTATCTCATTATTTTCTCTTCTAGTTACACGTGCTAACAATTTTAGCTGTTGTTGAAAGTGCTCAAGTGATGCGGTTGCTGTTATCTGATACAGCACTTCATTAGTGATCTTGTAGCGCCAGTCCACGAGCTTTGAAGAAGGATGGTCCTCTCTAAGACCCGAAGCCATTTTTTAGCCATTAATCTGAGAAAGCGGTTGTATAAATCTGACAGTTTAGATATTTCTGAACGGTTTTAGCGCCATGGATGACATTCAAATGAAAGTCTCAATGTGACGAGGCTATTTAAGAACATGACTTAAATTCTTAGATTATTGTTTCGGCTTTGCCGTATATTTCGGGGTTGAATAAATTTACCTCTAGCGCATCCAATTCTATGTTCAATTTCCTTATCTCCTATTTGTTACAACTGATCCATACACCAAGGTATTTGAAATGTTTAGTATTTATTAATTCTACATACTGTATTTTTATGATGGATTCAAGGTAAGTGCTACCATTGCTTTCAATCCAATTCCAGATCATTGGGTGATACGTTGGCTT